ATCCTTGGCATGTGGTAGCAAAATTCCGATCTTTGTCTCTGTCTGCACATGGCATTCTCCTCTGTGTTTCTGTTTCTTCTCTTTCAGCCTTTTATAATGACACTTGTCATTGGGTTCAGGGACTGCCTGGATGATCCAGAATGATCTTATCTTGAGAAGTTGTCTGCAAAGACCTTCACCCCAAGTAAGGTCACTTTCTGAGGTTCTGGGGGGAGGGTTTACCATTCAACTATCCTCACCACTAAAACTTCCTAAGAGCCCATGCAGTAAGCAAGCTCAGTTATGCCCATACCAAAGGGAAAAAAAAACAGAATTTCCAGAATGCATTTTAAAATTATCTAAAGTAATGATCCAGCAATCACACTCCTGGGCATATACATAGACGAAACTACAATTTTAAAAGAGACATGCACCCCTGTGTTCATAACAGCACTATTCACAATAGCCAAGACATGGAAACAACCTAAATATCCAAAACAGATGAGTGGATAAAGAAGATACTGAACATATGTACAACTAAATAGTACTCAGCCATAAAAAGAATGAAATAATGCCATTTGTAGCAACATGGATGGAACTAGAAATTATCATACTAAGTAAGTCAGAAAGACAAATACTGTATGATATCACTTATGTGTGGAATCTAAAATATGACACAAATGAACTTATCTATGAAACAGAAACAGACTCACAGAGAACAAGCTGATGGTTGCCAAGGGTAAAGGGGTGGGGAAGGGATGGACTGGGATTTGGGGATTAGTGGATGCAATTACATATAGAATAGATAAACAAAAAGGTCCTACTGTATAGTAGAAGGAACTATATTCAATATCCTGTAATAAGCCATAATGGAAAAGAAAAAATTATCTAAAGTAATGGGGAGCTTGACTCTTGACTTTCTGAAAGATCTGCCAGAAAAGATAATTTTCTGAAGTCAGGTAAGGAGCTTTTGCAGGGAGTTCCTTGTAGGGTGGGATTTGGTGCCTCCCAAAGTGCCTTCTTATTAAAGATCAGGGACTTGGGAGTCCACCATTAGGATCACTCTTTGAGGGTCTCCTTAGGTACAGGCACAAACTAACTAAGCAAAAATACATGACTGAGAAAGATGATACATTGGTTGGCTAATGTTAGTGGAGATTAATTTAATTGATTTATTTATCTCCCCAAATTGCCTAATTTATTACCAAACAATAAACTATACGTTTGGGACAATCCAGTCCATGTTATCACTAATAATTTTTTAATGAGATATAAAATCTGCAGTGTTGGAGCGACTTTGAAGAGATACCCCATATCCAAGGGCAAAAGAAAAGCCCCAAAAAGATTGTAGGAGAGGCAAAATTACATTTAAGATCAAACACCATATCCGCCAGAGATGCTCAGAGGACTCAAACACACCTTGTGTGCATCAGGACCCAGAGACGCCACAGAGACTGAGACAAAACTGTGTTTGTGTGTCTCCTGAGGAGGTATGGGTCAGTAGTGGATTGCTGCAGGGGCTCTGGGTGCAGCAGACTTGGGTAAGGCATAAGCCCTCTTGAAGGAGGTTGCCATTAACCCCACCACTGGGCCACCAGAACTTACACAGGACTGGGGAAACAGACTCTTGGAAGGCACAAACAAAATCTTGTGGGCACGAGGACCCAGGAGAAAGGAGCAGTGACCCTACAAGAGACTGACCCAGACTTGCCTGTGAGTGTCCAGGAGTCTCTGCCAGAGGCATGGGTTGGTGGTGGCCTGCTGCAGTGTTGGAGGCACTGAGTGTAGCAGTGTCTGCAATGGGTCCTTTTGAAGGAGGTAGCTATTATCTTCATTCAGTTCAGTTCAGTTGAGTCACTCAGGTAATTATCTTCATTACCTCCACCATAGTTTGGCCTCAGGTCAAATAACAGGGAGGGAACACAGCCCAGCCCTTCAACAGAAAATTGGATTAAAGATTTACTGAGCATGGCCCTGCCCATCAGAACAAGACTCAGTTTCCCCTTCAATCAGTCTCTCCCATCAGGAAGCTTCCATAAGCCTCTTATCCTTTTCCATCAGAGAGCAGAGAGATTGAAAACCACAATCTATTTCTGGTTAGAAAACTAACCAATCTGATCACATGGACAACAGCCTTGTCTAACTCAATGAAACTATGAGCCATACCATGTAGGGCCACCCAAGACAGACAGGTCATAGTGGAGAGTTCTGACAAAACATGGTCCACTGGAGAAGAGAAAGGCAAACCACTTCAGTATTCTTGCCTCAAGAACCCCATGAACAGTACGAAAAGGCAAAAAGATAGGACACTGAAAGATGAATTCCCCAGGTCAGTAGCTGCCCAACAGGCGACTAGAGAAGAGTGGAGAAATAACTCCAGAAAGAATGAAGGGATGGAGCCAAAGCAAAACAACACCCATTTGTGGATGTGACTGGTGATAGAAGTAAAATCTGATGCTGTAAAGAGCAATATTGCAAAGGGAGCTGGAATGTTAGGTCCATGAATCAAGGCAAATTGGAAATGGTCAAACAGGAGATGGCAAGAGTGAACATTGACATTTTGGGAATCAGTGAACTAAAATGGACTGGAATGGGTGAATTTAACTCAGATGACCATTATATCTACTACTGTGGGCAGGAATCCCTTAGAAGATATGGAGTAGCCATCATAGTCAACAAGAGAGTCTGAAATGCAGCACTTGGCTACAATCTCAAAAATGACAGAATGATCTCTGTTCATTTCCAAGGCAAACCATTCAATATCACAGTAATCCATGTCTACATCCTGACCAGTAATGCTGAAGAAGCTGAAGTTGAATGGCTCTATGAAGACCTATAAGACCTTCTAGAACTAACACCCAAAAAAGATGTCCTTTTCATTACGGAGGACTGGAGTGCAAAAGTAGGAAGTCAAGAAATACCTGGAGTAACAGGCAAATTTGGCTTTGGAGTACAGAATGAAGCAGGGCAAAAGCTAATAGAGTTTTGCTAAGAGAACACATTGGTCATAGCAAACACCCTCTTCCAACAACACACAAGAGAAGACTCTACACATGGACATCACCAGATGGTCAATACCAAAATCAGATTGATTATATTCTTTGCAGCCAAAGATGGGGAAGTGCTATACAGTCAGAAAAAATAAGACCAGGAGCTGACTGTGGCTCAGACCATGAACTCCTTATTGCACAATTCAGACTTAAATTGAAGAAAGTAGAGAAAACCACCAGACTATTCAGGTATGAACTAAATTACATCCCTTATGATTATACAGTGAAAGTGACAAATAGATTCAAGGGATTAGGTCTGATAGAGTGCTTGAAGAACTATGAATGGAAGTTTGTGACATTGTACATGAGGCAGTGATCAAGACCACCCCCAAGAAAAAGAAATGCAAAAAGGCAATATGGTTGTCTGAGGAGGCCTTACAAATAGCTGAGAAAAGAAGAGAAGCTAAAGGCAAAAGAGAAAAGGAAAGATATGGCAAATAGATGGGGAAACAGTGGCCAACTTTGTTTTTTGGGGCTCCAAAATCACTGCAGATGGTGACTACAGCCAAGAAATTAAAAGACACTTGCTCCTTTGAAGAAAAGTTATGACCAACCTAGACAGCATAATAAAACGCAGAGACATTACTTTGCCAACAAAGCTCTATCTAGTCAAAGCTATGATCTTTCCAGTAGTCGTGTATGGATATGAGAGTTGGACTGTACAGAAAGCTGAGTGCTGAAGAACTGATGGTTTTGAACTGTGGTGTTGGAGAAGACTCTTGAGAGTCCCTTGGACTGCAAGGAGATCCAACTAGTCTATCCTAAAGGAAATAAGTCCTGAATATTCATTGGAAGGACTGATGTTGAAGCTGAAACTCCAATACTTTGTCCACCTGATGTGAAGAACTGACACATTTGAAAGGATCCTGTTGCTAGAAAAAATTGCAGGCAGGAGGAGAAGTGGATGACAGAGGAGGAGATGGTTGGATGGCATCACTGACTCAATGGACATGAGTTTGAGTAAACTCTGAGAGTTGGTGATGGACAGGGAGGCCTGGCGTGCTGCTGTCCATGGGGTCGCAAAGAGTCAGACACGACTGAGTGAACTGAACTGAATTGAACTAAAAATCTAGTCAAGACTAACTCCATTTATAAATTTGCCACACCTGTGAGACCAACCCCCTTCTTCCTAATCTAGAGTGCTGTCTCCTCAACAATAGTTCTTGCTTGATAAAGAACCATGATGGCCTGAGAGAGTAATCCTTGTGCTGTTGATCCCCAATAAGCCAAATAACCTACTAGTCAGACGTTGAACCTGCACTCAGGGGCACAGCTGTTATCCTGTGTAGACCCAATTGACAGCATGATGATTTAGCAGGCAGCTTTCAAAATAACTGTGGGGTCAAAGGGGAAAGGATTGGCCTGAACTTGTTCTTCAGTGACTCATAACCTTTACAGCAATTTCACAGCCCAGTTGGGAAGCAACAGAGCTCAGAGTCTACATAATGTATCTTCATGCCCCATCTAATTTTGAAGAAGAGATAAGAGTATGCAAATCATTGCTAAAAACACCAGTTATGGGAGAGTCGATTGCCACAGAGGAAAGAAGAAAGAACAAAACCTTCTTAAGCCATTAAGAATGACATTGCTTGTAAACTAAACATAATTATGTATCGTGGCTCCTGATGATTGCATATATCAATGAGGATTTGCACCAGTGGTGGGGAGTGGAAGAATTAAGCCATCACTGTGAGCGATGGTATGGAAGGTTAGATTATAGGAGAGCAGAATATGGGACCTTAAACTTGGGCCAAGGGCATAATCTTTTTGATCCCAGTCCAATGGGACTGGCCATGTCAGCACCCTAAATGAAGGCTGAATGCCATGATGGCTTCAATGAGCTGAGAGGTCCCTGAAAGACAGATACAATTTGAATTGCAAACGGATATTAACTATGGTCTGCTCAGTGCCTGGGGAGTACAGGGCAAGGACCATGCTGCACTCCACCATCATGTTAAACTTCCTGAGGCTCCAGCTCTCATCATATCACTCTGTGGTCAAGGAATGCCAAGCTTCTTCATTAACTGTTGTCAATGTTATCAATCCATAAAATTCTAAATGTACAAAAAAAAATATTACCTGCCAATCTCAGCACCCAGAGAAAACCATTGTTCATATTACATTTTGGCAGATGTTTTCTGTTTCTTTTGAAAAGCAGAAATGCATCCATTTAAAGGCAACAAACTAATAAACGGAAATTTGGGGTCAATTTTCATTCTTTCATTCATTCACATGTTTTTTGATCCCACAACATGTAAGATCTTAGTTCCTTGACCAGGGATTAAACCCAGGTCCCCCACAGCATAAGCATGGAGTCTTAACCACTGGAATGCCAGGGAACCCCTGTCCATAATATTTAATGAGCACTTAGTATGCTAACCATGACAGACTCTAAAATGACAAGGATGAGTTGCCTGTCATTTCTTCGATGTACTACCCAACCCAAAGAGAAAGATGGACATGGACACATGGTGATGGACTCCTGTGTGAGTCTCAAGAATCAGAGATGGTAAAACTCAAGTCTTCAGAATTCTTCTGTAGGCTCCTGTCTTCCTGGAAACATTCTATGAGGTCGTACATGTGCACCAGAGCACACAGACATTTCTCCATCTCTGCTCCTGTGGACCCCAGTGTGAATGGCTAAATCATGACAAATGTCGCCTGAGGTCAGAGCAGAAACCCTGGCAAGCCATGAAGCAAAGCCAGCCAGGGAAGGAGGGGAAGAGACCTTAATTCTAGGTGAAAGCAAACAGTCCCAAAAGTCCCTCAGTGTAAAAGTCATACAGAAGAAGATGATAATCAAATTTTACATCTACTGAGCATTTACCATATGCTGGGCACAGTGCTAAAGGCTTTTTGCATGAAATCTCGTTTAAACCTCAGAATGTAAGGATGAGGTTGGTATTAGATTTCTTGTTTAGATAAAATTACTGAGCCTAGAGAGGTTAAATGATTTTCCCAAGGTCACCCAGCTAAGATATGGCAACCTTTGACTTGAGCCCCAAATCAGTGCTCTTAGCCTCAGGAAACTCACAAATCAGAAGGCAGGAATCAGTCAAGAAAAGTACCACCATGTGGAGGAAAGGGCACAACCTTCAGAATTATACAAATGACTTCACATTCAGATACTACTTCCTCCTTAGGGTAATCCCTTAGCTGCTTTGTTGGTTATTTTTCCCATTTCTGCGCAGGCTGCCATATCTTATTTATCATGGAACCTCAATATCTAGCACTATGTTAGCTGGCTTGTAGCACAGGTCCTCCAAAACTGTGTTGAAGGAATGCCAGATTAATATAGGAACTCGGGCATAGGGCTGCAGCAAGGGGTACATGACGTGAAAGAGGGCACTCACCTGGCACCTGTGCAGTGTAAATACCCCTTAACTGTTGGCCTTTATCCTACAATGAAGCCTTGGCATGGGGGAGGGTGAATGGGACCAGTAGGCTGCTTCTTCCCTTAATCTGTAACCTCAGTGAATTTCTCCCCTTAAGACATACTCCTGAGTGTGTGAGCCACTAAGAGAAATAAAAGAGCAGGAATTAAACAGGAACAAACTCCGTTTGGGAGTCAGGCACGAATTACCATACTGTGATGGATTTCCTAGACTATAAAGACTCTAGCCTTGATACACGTGCATCTGGCGTCACCAGTGCCCTAAAGCATCTTCAGAGCTTAATGCAATGCCAAGCTCAGTGTTTCCTTGCCCATATTGTTCTCCCGAGGCAGAGATAAAAGTCCTTTTTGATTCTTGCTTCATCCATAGGAAAGGGGGCAAAAAAATACATACTAGAGAAATCCTCAGTGGAAGCTGCATTGTCACCAAGCATAATGGAAACATTTTAAAGATAACTTTCTCCCAATTGCTGTGGCCTTTTATCTGGCAACTCAGACAAGGTTGTTAACACTGATAAGCAGATTTTCTTCCAAGTTCAGTAAAATATCAGAGTCTGTATGGAAAGAACAAACACGCTTAGGTTGTCTAAAATAAAATCTGGCTTTTGTAAAGTATGGTCTGCTCAAGACGCCACTGTTTAGCTCCTACAAAGCTGATTTAGTTTTCTCACCTTTTCCACAAGAATCTCATAGAAAAGCCTTGCTTTTCATTCAAGATTGGAAAGCAATCTGGCAGCAGCTCTACTGGACTTCCTCAAGGAAGAGGCCCTCCCTGGACTGAGCCCCTGTGATATCTAATCATTGGTGCTTTACCTTTAAAACAAGGTCATCGGTGAAACCAAGTACCACTTTAGCCAAATTCAAGTCCTCCTCTGCATGGTGGTTTCCAAACAAGTTCCTTATTCTAAGTTCCTTCCGGGTGACCTGCATCTCTTTTTTTCTGTTCAGGAGAGATTGTTCTTTTCTCCTTTCCACTTCTTCATCCCTCCCCGATCACAGAGAGGAAAAGAATGGCCCTTCTCTGCTCCTGACTCAGAATGCACATCAGCCAAACTCAGAAGGACAAAGCCTCCTCCAGAGCGACTGTCCCCACCTCTGCTTCAAGCCCACTTCGGGTGGCAATTCACTGGCTGCCTCCTACACACCATTTCCCGGACAAATTCCACCTGGAAGAGTTCAGGGACAGAAAAAGGGTGCTCCTCTTAAAGAACCAACACTACGCTTATGATTAGCCAAGAGGGCTGTGTAATTCAGACAGTGTCTCTCTTTGCCTGGCTGTTGGAAAGCTCAGAGCTGGAAACTGGACTCCTTTTTTTTTTGAGGGTGGGGACAGGGCTTCTTGATATAAATTTTTCTTCAACTATCACTTCATGCTTCTTTGTTCTCTTCCAGCCTCTATTAATGAGTCTCTGAGTAGAACTCAGTTTCTAGTGTAACTTGCCTTCACAGAAGTAAATGAACTATGAATAAATGAACATTTTCAAAGTGGGCTGTCATCTTGCTAATTCTAACCATGCTGGTTCTGTCACCTGAACAACAGGAAAAATAACAGAGGAAAAATAATTTAGGATCATCTTCCCAAAGGGCGATTTCTACCTAGAAGCTGTTGGCCTCACCAAGACTAAAATAAAGAGGATAACTTGTTCATTCATATAGAAAAGTTCATTAATACACATTTATTTATAGACTCAAAGCAAATTCATTATGCTGCCTTCTCTACCCTGCCCCTGTCCATACTTTAAAAAACAAAAAAACTAGCAGAGAGTAAAAAAGTAGCCCAATTTAGATAGGCAAACTGAGTCACAGGAGTCAGACTAAGAAAATATACTAAGTTATAGGACAGATAACTGGAAATTCTATAGTCTATGAAATCTGTGGAGATGGAATTAGCTCAACGTCTGCAGACTGAAGCCTTACAACCCCACCACAACACAAATGACTTAAACTGAGCAACTTAAAACTTAGATCTCATTCCTCTATGAGGAATTTCTCTCTGGAAATGACAATATTTCAAAATTTTCACCTTTTTTTGGAGAGGAGGCTATCAGTTCCTATTTATGATTTAATAAACTTATCCTAATTTGAATTTTTCTGCTTAGGGGAGAGGAAGGAAAATCTGCTTTTGATAAATCAAGACCAGACAATGTGATTCACTAAAAACACTCACCAAAGTAAGTAAACACAACACATAATAAAAAGTACAAACATTGTGAGAAAACTTAATCAGAGAAGCTGAAGCAGAGGTCAGTGTATGCCAAACTGATTTACAACCCAACAAGTACACCTGCATGCAGTGCGTGAGGGCAGGGTAAACATGCTTTAAAAGAAATATGCATATACTTTACACTAACCTCCTCAGGGATGGAGGAAATTCTAAGGAGGTTAAGGCAGGACATTAGTAGAACATACAGCTTTGCTCCTGTTATCTGACCCACAGAACCATCCTGTCCCTTTCAGCTTAACTTCCTCCAGACATTAGAACTACACAGCTTAAATCATGGTGCTTGAACTAACAGACACAGAGACCAGACTTGTGGGGTATATGCAGGAATGGATTGGGAATTTGGGATTAGCAGATGCAAACTACTATATATGGAATGGATAAACAACAGGTCCTACTGTATAGCACAGGGAACTACATTCAATATCCTGTGATAAACCATAATGGAAAAGAGTATGAAAAAGAATATATACATATATCTATATACACACACACACACATATATATGTAGAGATGAATCACTTTGCTGCACAGCAGAACTTCACACAATATTGTAAATTAACAATATTTAAGTAAAACAATTTTTAAAAAATCATGGTGCTTGATTTTGTCAATAGGAATCAATACAGTCCAGAACCATGTTAAGGGCGGTGAACCATGTATGTTCCTGACAAGAAGCTGAGTTTAAGACAGTGTCAGTCACCAACCCAGCAGCATTCTCCCTTTATTTGTGCCTATATATTTGAAAAAAAGAAGTGGGGGGGACATACCCCAGTTTACTTTTTTAAAACTAAATAACGTTGCCTTGTGGCACTCATATTGTATCTATTACACATTTCACTTCAAAACCTCATCTCCCCTAAACCCTCTTCAATGCGCTTGAAGTAGCACAGCCAAAGGAAAGGAATTTTCTATTTAACTAGAGCACTGACATTCTGTTACACAATTCGATCTTGTCTATTTACCTGCTCTCAGAAACACAAGACACTAAACACGAAATGCTGAATGCGTTGAGTCTGTGGTGCCATAGGTGTCTGAATGCATCTGTAGCTTCCCTCTCACTCATCAGTGTAATTGTTGCCATGTTATTCCATTTTTTGATTAGTCTAGTCCCTCAAGCTCAATGCTTTTTTCTGGCCCAACGTTCTTCTGCTGGTTGTCATGGTGACTGAATTGTTAGCAAGGAGAAAGGCTCTGTTGTCTGTCATTGTTCTGTTGTGGTTTAGGTAACGCAGGAGGCAACACAAGTGAAGTGGATGGACCTTTTTTGCTCTGCATCATTTCATAGTATTGAAAAATCTCACATAAAAAAGGAGCAAATAGGCCCAACCAAAGAAATAACCAAGCTCTTTCTAAAGGAAAGTGCACATTATTACAAAGAGGCAAAATGGCACTAATGATGAACTGAGTAATCTATGAAAAATGCTGCTGAATATTACATTTATTACTAGAACAATCACTGCAACTTAAACATCACATACAATACCTACCATTTTGCAATTTAGAGTAAATATAGTTTTTAACTATACAATTGTAGCATCAACTCTTTGATTCTCGAGGCTCTGCTACTTTAACCTTACGTTCTGTTTAACCCAAAGATAGCATGGTGGAAGTTAGGACTGAAGCCAAATGGAAGAGTTGGGCAAATTTTCTTTTGGTGGTAAGATAGTGTTGGAGTCAATTTCTACTTTGGGAATGTGGAAATAAATTTTTAAAGATGAGGGCTTACTAAAAAGGAGAACTTTTTTATTTAAATGGTTTTTTGAATCTAACCAATATATATATAATCATTCCTTAATTTTTAATTTTCTAGATTTTTAACAAGAAAATGGAGAGTTATAGCATATAAGTAAAGGGATACATTATAGACAGGGACCAAATTAATAACAGTTCCTATTAAAAAAAAAACACTCTTAATCTTTGTTCATCATTGCATTGTTAGACATATATCTGCCCAAATCAGCAATTACTTCCATTAGTATCGGTATAATTTTCCTGTGAACTTTTTCATTTGTTTTATTTGAACTTGAAATGGTCTAATTTAATTTTTATTTAACTGTTTAATTTAGTTCTTAATGATACAAATTTTTAAGTAGGAATACTTGGTAAAATATAACTTGAAAATTTAAAAAGATTAAAAGGTTTACAACGACAAATTTCCCTCCCACCCCTGAAATCTAGTTCTCTCTTAATCCTCCACAGCCATTATTATTAGATTCTTTTGTAGTTTTCTGGAATTTCTTTATGAAAATATTAGAAAATACTGACAGAGATTCTTCTCTTACCTCTTGCATTCACAAATGTTAGCTTGCTATTCACACTGCTCTGCACTTTTCACTTGACACTATATCTGGTTGTCTTTCTGTATCAGAACATAGAGACCTTCCTCCTCCTTTTTCTTTCTATAATAGTATAATATTCCATTGCTGTTGTTCAGTCGCTAAGTCATGTCTCACTCTTTGTGACCCCATGGACTGCAACATGCCAGGCTTCTCTGTCCTTCACTATTTCCCAGAGCTTGCTCAAACTTATGTCCATTGAGTCAGTGATGCCATCCAACCATCTCAGCCTCTGCTGCCCACTTCTCTTTCTCAGTGTGAGGGTCTTTTTCAATGAGTGATCTCTTCGCATCATGTGGCCAAAGTATTGGAGCTTTAGCATCAGTCCTTGTAATGAATATTCAGGATTGATTTCCCTTATGTTCTATAATTCATTTAATCAGTCTCTATTGATGGATATTCAGGTTATTCTCATTATTTTGCTTTTATAAACTTGTGTATGTCATTTTATATGTATGCAAATATATATGTGATAGAATCCCAGAGATGAAATTTCTAAGTTAAAAAAATTTGCATTAGTAACTGATGAATATTGTCAAATTAACTTTATAGAAGCTATTCCAATTTACACTCCCATCAACAGGGTACAAAAGTACCCGTTTCCTCATACCTTCCCAACAAAGGCTAATATTAAGCTTTGAAATTCTGCCAATCTGATAGGTAAAAAAAATAGTGCAAACCTACAGTTTTAATTTAAATTTCTGTTATTAGTGAAGTCAAATATCTTTCATATGTTTCCAAGCCAATTGCATTTATTTCCCTGTTAATCCTCACTTGAGATACTTTGACCATATTTAAGGTATTGATATTTTCTTATTGATTTCTATGAGCTGTTTATGTTTTTGAAAAATTTATGCTATGTTGTGTTATGGGTTGCAAATATTTCCCCTAATTCATTGTCTTTTGATTTTGCATAAGGACTTTTCCTCGCAGAAGTCCTGGCTTTTCTGTGGTCATACAAATCTTTTATGGTTTCTGCCTGTCTCTTCTCTCCTGTCCCCATGCCAAGAAAAAAACTCCAACAAAGAAGCTCTCCCATGCATTTCTGTAGTGCTTGTCTGGTTTCTTTCCTTTTCTTCATTTTTAAAAAATCTTTACCTTTTCTTAACTTTATCCTTGAGCATGGTATGAGGGACAGATCCAACTTTTGGGTTTTTTTCTGATGGCTATCCAATTATCCTACACTAGCTATAGAATAAAAAATCTCCCCCTTGCCCTCCCCTACACTTGTTTGAGATGTTTCCTTTCCAGATGTTAAAGTATATTACGTTTTTGGTTTATTTCTGGACTTCCTTTTCTGTTATCTTGGCCTGAGTATCTGTTCATATATGAAGCCCCAGTACATTTGACGTAACAAATATACAATCTACAATATACTACAAGAATGGCACTTAGCCTAGAAATGCTCTTAATTATATCTGCATTTTTACATGGCAAAGTGTATTTTCTCATTTATAAATTGCTTTAATCTATTGCTATCCAAACATATCTTCCTTGATTGCCCAAGGAAGTATATTCACTATTATGTCGAGCCAAACATCAATTGTCACTCAAGTTCTGAGGAAAATACAGCTCAGAAAAATACAGTGAGAAATCACTGTTTTTCAATGAAAACTAAAATTCAAGAATTTATATACTGTATATAAAACACACTACTGTATTTAAAAAATAACCAACAAGGACCTTCTACAGTGAACTATACTCAGTATTTGTAATCATCTACAAGAGAAAATAATCTGAAAAAAAATTTATGTGTGTATAACTGAATCATTTTGCTATACACTTGAAACTAACACAACATTGTAAATCGACTACACTTCAATAACAGTAATAAAAAGAATAGACAGGGCAGAGGGCTGTTGTGTCTTTGGGAATATGCCTTTAAGGGTACAGAGTGCGGGTGTTCATAAATCCCAGCGCACTTTCATTCAGCATCTCATGGTGGTTTACAGCCACAGAAATCTGCAAAACCTGCTGCTCTCACTTTCTGAGGGTGCTCCAGGACGACTTTAAAGCCTAGCCATTAAAGAGCATTTGAAAGGGCACTTACTATTTAGTACCCCCGTAAACATATATTTTGATTTTCTTTCATACTGTTTAATGGCATAATATTCAGCAAGGATCTGTGGAAACCAGCTAGCAATCACAACACACTCCAAAGGAAGAGCACCAGCCCTTCCCAGACAGTGCTCCCCCCGGCCCCCCTCAGCACACAGGCTGTGGCCGATTTCATCATCCTGCCAAATATTCACAAGCTTGTTATCTGTTACTGGTTTAATGTAGTGCATTCACACAGACTGAAGTTGATTTTCAGTACAGGTCTATAAATAATGCTCTTCGCCTGTGATCTTGAGGCTTTTGAGATCAGTTTTCCTGCTTCCACCCCTCCTTCTCAGCGAGCATTTCATCACAGGGGAGAAGATGAATGTCCTTGCAACAAAAGATGACTTTTGGAGCAGAACCTACCCAATAATCAGAAGTGGCAAGTAAAAGAGTGAAGGTGGTGACCTCTCTCGGGGACATGAACAAGAAGAAACTGGAGGAGCCTTTTGCTTTGCTTAGAGAGTACCCAAACCACTCATGGCAGGAAGCGTTTGGCTACTGATCACTTCTGTGAGACCCATTATAAAAGGTGAGCAAATCTCAAAGCGCTCCCTGCCTCCTCCCCCAATTAGTTCAGAGGGCAGCCGACCTTCAGAGATATCCGTTGCGGGGGGTGTTTTTCTGGTGACGACGCTGTGAAAATAATTTTCTTTCTGAAGGGCTTTCTTTCTATTCTCTCCCCATGGCAACTTTAGAAAATTTGTTAAAACGCGCACATGCACACCAACCTCTCAGGCTTATCCATGAGCTCTCTGGGTGAGTGGGAACAAGCGGGAGCCTAGCCAAGATGTGCACCCAACACAATCACATCGTTTTGATCATTTGGGGAATCTCACTGTGTTGTCAGGGATTTTTTTAAAGTACGGAACAAGATAAAGTAGGTTGAGAGCAAGTTGTTTAAGCAAAGTCATTTGGTCCAACTGCTTTTCCAAATTGGCAAAAGATTATTTTTTATTGAACCAGTATCTGCAGAGCAATAGTTGAAAAAAGCTAGTGTCTATTCCTCTGGGGCATCTCTGCGTTGGTTACAACAGCTGAATTGAATAGCTGATACTAGAAACCAGCAGGAGAGGAAACTGGTGGAACAGATAGTCTCATGGGCCTAAAGAGAACCATGGATGATTCAGGAGTGTGGGACAGGTTGGTATTAGTCAGAGCACACACGTCATGGAGGGACTCACTGTAACATCAGAAAGATGTAAGTAGATGCAGATAGATGTAAATCTCACTGACCCCACATGGTGAAAGAAACCATGCACACCTCAATTTTGGGTAAGCACTTGTCTCATTTCAAGCATCCTAACTTCCCACTGATGTCCCTTTTCTGGGGACTCTTATTTTTAAATGTTTTTAAAATTGACTATAAATAGAGAAGAAAGCAAAAGCTACAGTATACTTCAGTGCAGTATAATTTCTGGGAGAGGAAAAAAAAAAAAAAGGCTGTTTCTGTTATATCTTTTCCACCTCATCACAGGGGAGTCATGCCCAGAATTATGCTGGCGCCAGGATTTAAAGGCCAGGAACTGGAAGCAGCACCTGTAGACCAGAATTTAAATCCCATGGACGGTTTCTCTTGAGGCTTTCATAGAACATGAATGAGGATGTAATTTAAAAATAAGCCCTGCATTCTATTTAAAAAGATAAGAAGGAGCTGGATGTGTGTAAATGTTTGGATTAAATATGACCAAAGACTGCACCGT